GTCCAATCTCCCTTCACATACATGACGGCGCTTGCATGAAACAGTGAAAGCAAGCAATGCCAAGACAACTTTCTCATCCAAGAAGAACAGAAAACAGAAGGAAAAACATAAAAACAGACAAATATAACAAACAAGAACTTCAAAACATAAAACTAGACCCAACAGGGTTTCATATCAATGTCAGCATGACGAAATCCATACGAATATGAGACAATAGCAAGAGCATTTGTACAGAAATCAGATTCCCAACCCTTCGGACTTCGACACTTCAACACCAACCCCAAGTGTCCACGGACTCTATTGAAATAACTGTTGCATGTTGCGCATCCTACCCTCTACCACATTAACGTCTTCCAGACGTCTGCGACGACAAAGTGCAGAGTCAGAGAGACACAGACCCTGAGTCGACGTTAACGTTGAAGCAGTTGTCTTCTTCCAGTCAAAACTACAAAATTCAAGCACGCCCAAAAAAAAAAAAAAAAAAAAAAGGTAAGCTCTCTAGCATTGCCTTCACAGCTGTCCAGTAGACACTGCCACCATCCGTAGTCTGCGCATGTCCATAATCAAGACCCCCTAGCCCCCGCCTCCATTCTGTTGCTGGCGCTCACCGTCCTCCTCTTCCGGTGGCCCTGTTCCCAACCAATCCAACCATTTTGCATTATCGAGCGATGACAAACTTGCGTCGTACCCAACTTTTACACAGCATGATGCCCAATCATGGATGTAGCGAACGAAATCCCCCAAAGTAATCGTGAACTTGTGCAGCATCTCCGTCACGACGTTCGTGGCTTGTGTGATGTGTCAACGCGCATTGAAGGCGCAATGCGTGGAGGCCCATAGAGTTGGCTTCATCGCGGTTTGGACGAAAAAGGACACCTCATAGTGTGAGCAGAAATCATCTCCCAACACGCGCATCAACCACATCGTGGGCTCCACAAAAACCTTTATATGCTCAGCCACATTCATCAACTTGTCGCGTGAAACACGGCCGCCTGTTTGTGCACGAGTCGCCGACTGACTGTTTGTATGCAAGTTTCCAACTCTGGCCGCAGGAACCGCTGCTACTGCATGTAATTCCCTTGGTGTACGCTGCTGTACCTTTTGCTGCTGCTGCTGCTGCTTCTGGATGGACTGTCTGCCTCTGTGGATGCATAAAACCGTCGTCTTCTTGTGGTTGGTGTGACTGTTGGCCTAATGCCCCGCTATCATCATATCATAATATTATGTGTCTAGTTCCTTGTTGGCGGCCAGTTCCAGCCATGCGTTCCTGGCGCACTCTCAAAAACTGTTCTCCTCCAGATCGAGGTCCTTATGCTGCTGTTGTTTACCTGATCCCTGTGGTGGGCCCTCATCCTTGCACAGGGTCCATGCTAATCTTCTCTGTGCGGTTCCAATTTTGGCGCATGTCCCGGAGGACCTCAGAACACTTTAAATTTCCAACTACTAGACACAAGGTGTTAAAAATAGCACAGGGTTCGGACGGCCTAGTTCAGTTGGTAAGGCATGCAAGTGGCATTCAGGAGGTCTTGGGTTCAATCCCCATTGGCCTCATGTACCTTCCTGGGCAAGCGTGCCGCCTGCCACCTAGAGATATGCCGTTGGTCCCCCCGAGTGGCATTGAGCAGAGACTGCTGATGGTAATAGGGGGAGGGGACCGGAGGGGAGGCACACTGACTGGCCCATCGAAGAAGCTTGGTCCTGATGCTACCGGCTGACCCCTGGACGGTATCGCCCACCTGCTGTAGCAGGTGTCACGGGATAATCGGTAGAAGGCAGCAGGTATCACGGGATAATCGGTAGAAGGCACCCACGCCAAAACCTTTTCGGTTCTGGCCGCCCAAGTTTAGCCGTTTGGTACTACCCGCCCAATGACTTGCATGTGGGGTACTACAGGCCCAGGCGTCGCTCCACGGGTCCTGCCGGATCATGAATCTGGCGCATTCCAGGGCCAGATTCATTTTGATATAAAAGAGGTCGGCGGTGGTAACGCTGAAGTGTAGAATGAGGCCCACGAACGCTATTTTCAAAAAGAAGGGCCCTACCGGTTCATGAATCTGGCGAAGAAACAGCGCCAAATTCTTGAGCCAGTAAAAACAGGCCCAGGGAGATGTGGCCACGGCCTTTCACCCAGGGGAAAGTTGTTTGGTCCGGTAGTACCAAACGGCCGAACTTTGGGCGGCCAAAACCAGAAAGGTTTTGGCGTGGGCTCTTTCTACCAATTATCCCAGGTATCACACCTGCTGGTGGGTGCAGCTCCCGCATGTTCCCTCGATGGAGGCTGGAGCACGGATGTGGCTGCTACGGGGTTCCCCGTAATACTATAATGACAATAAAAAAGGCTGAAAGGCCCAAAAAAAAAATTAAAAAAAAATAGCACAGGCCGATAGAGATCGTCCGAGACGACGGAGCCAAGCTCATTGTGTACACCCATGGACTATTGAAATACAAACCCGAGTTCGAATCCAGTTGATAGAATTCGACGAGTAAAACCAAACATTTCTGAATTGCCTGGGGCCGGCAAGCATAGCTTTCTACCCCTCTTCCGTGAAGCGAGGTGAGGTAGGGGTAGTGAAAGAAAGATATGTTCCATTCAAAAATATGTGAGGTGAGAGACAAGCAAATGGCTGTCCCCCGATGAGGAAAAGGCAACGGTTTTTTTTTTTTTTTTTTTTTTTTTTTTTTTTTTTTTAAGGCAACGTTTTTGGCAGACTCGCTTTTGCACTTTTTTGGCTGACAAGCGACTCTCGAGTGTCCCTGTTTGAGATATCTTTCAGTCTAAATACAGCTCCTTTTSCCAGACTCGCTTTATAGCTGTATTTGGGGACGACGGTGGATTGCAAGTATCACCTACTACGAGTCTTGTGAGGGCGCACTTTATGGCTTGACCTGTATGCATTTGGCTGCATCTCCGTCCAGAAACAAGTCAAAAGTCCCAGTGTGAGTACGCCTGCGAGCAGTGTGAACTGCTTCGCTGATGAGTGGGACGTTGACATCTACCTGACCCCATTTATCGCTGGATCTGCATGCATCCGGCTGCAATTCCGTCAAAAGAAAAGAAAAATGTCCCAGTGTGGATATGCCCTGAGAACACTGTGAAGTGCCTCGCTAATGAGTGGGACGTTCACAACTTCACATTTACCTGACCCCATTAAATTTTATGACTGTACCTGCATGCATCTGCCTGATATTCCGTCCAGATACACGAAAAATGTCCCGGTGCTTCACAATGTCGAAGAGATGCAAACAGCGTACAAACGAGAAGAGAAAACTCGAGAATTTTATTTTATTTTTGTACAAAAAAGGCGCACATGCCGTCACCTCACTCCGCCGAGAGTGGTAAACTCCCTCCAGCATAGCCTCACAGTGGTAGCTAGATAGCGAGAGAAAGATAATATCTCTTTACCTTTCTTGCCGTCTGATCGCCTTCACGAACAATGTTGCTCGTCTCACTCACCCTCTTTTTGTGTGCGGGTGTCCGCTTTCAAACATGAGTTCGCGCATATTCACGTGCCCGCATGCATATTAGAGGTCCCCCCCTCTTTTTTTCTGTTCCTCCCTTTCCTGCGCCAACTCCTCCTTCCCCCCTATGCCGTCATATTACCCTGCCGCCTTCTGTTGGAGGCCACTAGCGCTCCCTCTCTCTCTCTCTCTCTCTCTCTCTCTCTCTCTCTCTGTGTGTGTGTGTGTGTGTGTGTGTGTGTGTGTGTGTGTGTGTGTGTGTGTCTGCCGACTTCGGATACAGATGCAGAGTAAACAGAAACCCAAGGCAACGAATGATGGACTAGCAGAGGAGAAAAGATACGACCATATTCTCGCCGTGGAAGGCTTGCACGGTATCTCCATGCTCTTGCCTTTTTCAAACATGCAAAATAGAGTTCCCTAGGGAAAAAAAAAGTGACAAAACGACTAACGGCACATTTCAAACTCCATCGTCATAAGACTCGATAAGAGACATTTTCAAATTTCAAAAGACTCGATTAGAGCAAATTTCATTTTTCAAATTACCTCTCGAAACGGATACACACACACACACACGACAAATAACAGAAAACAAACTCGCGCAGGAGAGATTGACAGAGTAAAAAACGAGAGAGATCGCGCGGGAGAGAGAGAT